GCCGCCATTTTTGTTCGGTAAGTGCTATCGGAGCTTATTCGGTTAGCCGCCGCTTTGATCTCCCTTCTCCACTCGATTAGGGTTTCGTATCTTCTTACGGTAATATTTATATCCTCTTTTTCTGTGATTTGTGGGCTGTTGTGATCCTCCTGGGTTACTACGTTTCTGGCGATTTTATTGGTTTGTTTGCACTGGGCTTTTCCGGAAACGTAGCGTTTCGTTTGACATTTTCACGGATGACTTGTTGTAGTACTTGAACGGCCTATGAACTGGTGTAAATCAGTTTGAACTATTTTTTCGGTTTATTTCTGGACTGGTTTTTGGTTTATTTCCTGATATGGATTTGATTATTTCTGATGAACTGGATTTGTTTTACAGTTATCTGGATGCGGATTTGGTTGGATTTTTCGGTTTCATTCATAAAATGTCCATGGATTTGCTTTGTGTTTTTTTCCTGATGTAAAGCCATTTTGGGTTTAATGCAGGTTCGGTTTAGCATATCTCGGTGATTTACTTGATAAAACCAGATGTTGCTTTGATTCTGGATCTTGGATTTGGATATCCAACTATTTGGTTCCAGATTGGTTCGGTATTGGGTTCTGTACTCTGGATTCTGCTTGCCGACGCGAATTAATTATTCTGAAACAGCTCGGGTTCAAACCTATGGGCATCTGGGTTTGAATTCGGATTTCTAATTATTTACTTGATAGAAACCGAATATGGATTAAAATCTGTTTTGCTGGCAAATCCATTTCCGAAATAGACGCTTATCCGATAATCATTTCTGGTCGGAAGTACTTCTTTTCCTCTTCTTCTCGGCTGTCTTGAAAGGACAGATACTACCGGTTCGACGCCGAGGTAGAGGATTGGAATGGGAGTCGGTCACGGCTTTTGTCGTGCCCTCCCGACACCCGATGATGTGTAACTGAGGGTGTCGAAAAATAATTTTTCCTAACGTTAACATTGTTTGTTCTGTTTTGTGTCGGTTTTTGCAGGTATCGGAAGAACAACGGAGGCTCGGAATACTCAGAAGAACTTTAGAAAGAAATAGGAAATTATGAATAAAATGTATATTTTTTAATTCTCTTTGTAAATTGTAATAGAAATTAAATATGAATAAAAATTCAATATATTTCTATCCAAATTACTTTCCAATTCCCTTTTTCCTAATTTTAACTTTGTCATCTGAATCCAACACAAAGAAATATCCGAGTAACTTGAACTGACTAAGTTCCTCTGAATAAATTCCGTCAATCATAAATGAATCTTGAACCAGTGGAATACCCTTCACTTCAACGAAACCGTATGAATAAATTCCAAGGAAAATCAATTGCATTAACCTTATCGTTCTAACCTGTGCCACTCCATTTAAAACACGATAGAATCTTCAATTCTCAACTCAATTTAAATTGCGTCGGATGGTAGAATCGACAATAGTCATGAACGGATTAAAATAGAGCAGAAACAGAGAAATCCGATTAGCGGTGAAACAGAAGTATACTTCGCACTAAAAATTCCATTTTATGTTCCCGATTAATAAATCCAATTCCATAAACCAACTCGGCCAAAAATTTCAATTAAATAAATGTAACAAACCCCGACTTGAGCCAATTTTGTACCGCTTTCCTTTTGAAAAATTTAAGTGGTAGGTAGCAGAAGAAGCAGAAAATAATTGTCTGTCGAAACCAAATTCCACAGAACGGATCCTCGCCTCGCCTTGAACCAAGCCGATTTGATATCTCAGCATAATCTCACCCCTATGACAAAATAAATGTCTCGGAAATCTACTGATGATAGAGTCTCGGCCCGCTGACTTAATTACCGTATCTCGAACATCCTGATGCGAAACTTACCGTGAATTTCTGTTTATCTTCAAAGAACATAAAGAACTCGGAGCCGGAGGTTCTGATTACTCCAAAAAACCCCGGCGACAGCTCATCTTCAAAAATAGTCAGCAACCAAACATGAAAATGACCGTTTTGCCCTTTTACAACTAAAGTGTACCAAACGTGGTTCCTGCAAAACGAAACAAGCTACATAACCTGTTAATAGTTAGCTGATGCGAAAATGAGATGACACATGACCTGAATCGACTAATCTGAGGATAAAATTTGGGGTATTACAGTAGGGACGAAACAAATAGAATCCGAAGGTTTAAAATTGGTGAAGGCTACGATAATGTAGGCTCCAATAGCGCAAAGTGTGGTTGCACTATTGTGAAAACGTACAGTCTTCCATGTGCTTGTACTATTGCTAAAAAGGTGAAACTTGGTGAACCAATAATAATTGACGAGGTTTGCTCTTATTGAAAGAGACTTAGGTTCGATGATGATAGATGCATGGATGACGGGAAATCGAATATCTCTATTTTGATTGAATGGGAAGTGATACAAGAGAGATTTTTGAAGGTCGATGACAACATGAAACTCCACATCAAAGAACAATTGACGAAAATTGCCTATCGTGAAACCACTGGTAAGAAACTGCCTTCTCAACCGGTAAAAACAAAAGGTGCTCTGAAGAAAATGAAGCCTACACTGAATGAAAACTTGACTACACGGTCTCCTTCATATTTTGAACACGTTGACAAAAAATTTCCCGACTCACCGATTCCAAAATGTCAAAAAAGTATTGCAAAAGGAGACCATATTAGCAAACTAACGTCGACGCCGCTTCCATAGAATATTCCATTCATCGACGAGATGCCGATTTTTATGCACAAATATATCGAGCGGATCATCAATATTGTGAGGGACGGTAATTGTAGTTACCGAGCCGTTTCAACTTTACTCGGTAAAAGAGAAGATAATCATGCACTTGTCCGACATCAACTTATCCAAAAGTTGAAGACGAATAAAGAATCATACATGCAGTTGTACGGAAATAAAGAAAAAATCAATGTGGTTTATGAGTTCCTTGTTCCTTGCTTGAGCGGTCTGACACCAGAGTCAAAATGGATGAACTTCCCGAAAATGGGTCACCTAATAGCATGCGCATATGATAGAGCGTGTATTGATCTGACACACAACGGTTTTTCAGAAACCTTTTTCCAATTGCGCACTGCCCCACACCAAAATCCAAATGATCGTATCATGTGTATTGGATGGCTTTCAAAATCAAGTAATTTTATTCAAGTTTACTTTAAATCGGGATGACCTATACCACTCACATCGCTGGAGTGAATGACTCATTCAACCGCAAAAGCCGAGATATGACCGAATCATTATATGGAAATGATGCAAGAATTCGAGAGATTGAACAACATTGAAAAAGAATCGGATACACAAAAGTCCAAAGGGGTACCACCTATAGATTTAACCGACGACACATGTTTCGATTCATTTTAATTTCTTGTTTAATTGGACAAATAATTGTATGTAATTGTATCTCTATATGAATGAAGTATATATTCAGCTTTTGTTTATATATTGTCTTTATGCATTTTTTATCTACCCCATAACAACATGTGTGTTTTTGTTTAATGGAAAAAAATAGGTTATGTTTGTGTTATTTTTGAAATTGGTTCATGATAAGTTCTGGAGATGCATCTCTGGAACAAGATAATAAGGTGCGTTTTCGGAGATATATCTCCGAAATTAATTACTAGTTGATGAGTGACCCAAATTGATCTTTGTCTTCTATAAACTTAGGTGCTATAGTGCTATATTTCACACAAACTCAAAATGTCTCAAATGTCACAAATAAAAATTGATTGGTATGTCGCAAATGTGTCCTTCTCTGACTCTACACCCGGGCGAACAATTAAGCTTAACGACTTCACTCCCTCGAAGATATCAAAGACGGAATCTACGATCTCCTACCTTATAGAGACAATCGAAAGCTTTTGAAGCTCGAATACTATTCACCTTTGATAGACAACTGAAGGAAGCCTCAGTTAGTGCACTAAGTTTGAGCTCAAGACGCAAGTGGATGTTAGAGATACATAGGATATGTTTTTCAGTTATGATGAGAAAGTTCCGCTCGAGTTGGAAGTAACAATACAAAGATCGGTCGATGATATCCTGAAGATGTGCAAACGTTCATCAGAATATTGAAATGTAATATTGAATTTTCTTTTGAAATCATCATTGTAATGATCACTTTATATTCTGGATGTCGGTTTTATTTTGGATCTGCTGATTCTATTCTAGTGTGAATCCAGAGATGTAAGTACGAAATTATTCCAGAGATAAATCTTTAGAATAAATTAAATTAAAAGAAAATGGGTAATTCAAAATGACCTTTATTAAATGTGTCGACGTACGAAAATACATCTTCAAAAACGGAAAACATATTTAAATTTTTGCGTGATGTGATGGTTTAAAGAAATTCTTTATATACAAATCCACGAGTGTGATCGAAAGTGTATATGAAATAAATGCTTATATTTAATCCATTCCGCTAAATTTCTTGAATATCACTGGAATCATTTAGAGCATCCACACTCATTATCCTCACTTTGATTCTTTAGATGTGGTCCACGTAATTTTTTATATTATATTCCACTTTAATATTTTCTAAACAATCCAACTATATTTTCTAAATATCCATTCAACCCATCAAAAACTCTAAAATTGGTCCCACCAAATACCTTACATTTAATTATATATAATTTTTAATTCAACTTTAATAGTTAACAAGTAATGAGAAAGATTCTCTTGCAGAACAACGTTGACAAATTAAAGGACAGTTAAAATTTTCAAATATCCGTCAATTTCTTACCAAAAGACTTTAATTTTCGTGAAAGAACGATGACATGACATTGATATTTATGCTCTTACATGCCCCACGAACGGTAGCCAAACTATTAGAATGAGCACACTATGTGGTGCGGATGTCGTAACAACAAACTGAACGGTTCATTTTCAGTTTTCACTCACTCAACTCACCCTGTAGTAACCCAGAACAAGAAAAAAACAAACAACTACGCCACACCAATAGATCCCATGTCCTAATAATGCTCTGAATTTCCAGTTTTTCCATTTTCCATTCTCCTCAACATGGAAGCAGTTTCGTATTCAATCCCCTCTACCAATTTCCACATCCACACCAAAACCACGAAAATTCAATCCTCCAATTTCACTTTTCCTCTTCCTCCATCCCCAATTTCAATCAAGCCTCTCTATTCTTCCAAACTCCTCATCCTCCATCACCATAAACTCCGTTGCTCCGCCCAATCCACACACAACCACCACCACCATAATCACAATCACACCGATCATAACCATAACCATAACCATCACAATCACCATCATCATAATCATTCACATGACACCGATGACGCTAATCTCACCGGACCTCAAAGAGCGGTTATCACTTTCGCTAAAGCCACCAAATGGATCGACCTAGCTAACATCTTAAGAGAGCATTTGCATCTATGCTGTTTCTCAACCGCTTTATTTGTAGCCGCTGCTATTTGCCCTCACACTTTGCCCAAATCACTCATCAAACCCTTCCAAAACTCTCTCATTCTCGTAGCCTTTCCTTTGGTTGGGGTAAGAATCAAATAATCTCTCACTTTATTCAATTCTATTTCAATTTCAATTTCTTACTAATATGTCTCTATTAGGTTTCTGCATCACTTGATGCTCTAATTGAAATAAGCAGTGGAAAAGTGAGCATCCATGTCTTAATGGCAATGGCAGCTTTTGCATCAATATTTATGGGAAACTCTTTGGAAGGAGGGTTACTACTTGCAATGTTTAATCTTGCACATATAGGTAAACAAAGACTTTATTAGTTTAATAAATTTAAAGATATGCAATGAGTTTGATTGGCTTAATTTGAGTGGTGTATGTATGCAGCTGAAGAGTATTTCACTGGTCGTTCAATGGTTGATGTTAGAGAGTTGAAGGAGAATAATCCAGAGTTTGCACTTGTTCTTGATACAAAAGATGATAAGCTTCCTAATACATTTGATTTGGCGTACAAGAGGGTTCCCGTGCATGATATAACCATAGGATCATATGTGCTTGTTGGTGCTGGAGAGGTAACAAGTTTTGAAATTTTAATTGCTTGGGGATAATTTATTTGCTTCAATATTGGTGTCCAAAGATTTGCTATTAAAAATATCATTAGAAGAGATTATAATTCAAACTCTTTTGATAATATTTCTAATATCAAAGGATTTAGTGGAATATGTTATATATCTTTGACACGAAAGTGTATCTAGGATAATCTACGTCAAATCAAGCTGCAAAGTAAGTCTAGTATATGGATGTTTTCCGTGTCTCTAAGGTGTTAGACCCTGTTTGGATAAACGACTTAATTAAGTGCTTATCATATAAATTCTTATGTATTTACTACTTCTATAACAAAAGATAAAATAAAGTTAAATTGTTTGCATTTAGGTTATAATTTGTTTTCATAAGCTGTCATAGAAAGCTTATGGAAATAAGCTTAAAACAACCCAAAACAGGTTCACAAGTGTTTATGTCAGGAGGTAAACTCTCAAATAAACCAGTCCAAACTGGCCATTAATCTTAGGACATTAGAATCTAAATACAAATAGGCATCTATGCAGGATATTCTTTTGGGATAGTAATTCTCTGCAACAGCTTTATATGACCCAGCCTGCTACAGAGTCATTAGACTAAGAGAGACAATCCATAAAGTCGCTGCAGATGATCTATTTTGTTCTTTTTTGTCATCTTATATAGTTATGTTACATTTATCTTAGCATTGTGATCTGAAAACATTTAAGACCTAAAATTAGAAACTTATTTCAGAACGATTACTTTCAAATCTTCTCAGAGTTCAGTGTTATTTCAGAGACTCAAATGTTTTTGTTTTTCTATTGTTACTTTAAAATCACTATTCCATCTCTCTTTTCTCTCCTGGATATTTTATTGAATATTCTCTTACAATTTCATGCCTTCCTTCTTAAAGAGCAAAAGAAATTGGAATTTCAAGTTTTGTATAGCAGACTATTGAAGTATAATGGGATGGTGTTGTGATTAGTCTGTGCCTGTAGATTGTGAAGTTTTCCAAGGAGGTGCCACCATTACCATTGAGCACTTGACAGGGGAAGTCAAACCACTGGAGGCCAAAGTTGGAGATAGAGTTCCTGGTGGTGCAAGGAACTTAGATGGGAGAATAATTGTGAAGGTATATCTGAATGTATATTGATGTTTGGCTATTCCAGTCCTTTATTTACTATATTAAACTTCATAGCTTTAGCTTTATTTTTACAGTGGAAAAATGTAATAATGTTGGTGGTATGAGGAACCGAAATGGTAGTGGTGATAATAGTATTTGCGGCTTGTGTCGCGTGGTGACTGGTTATGATGGTAATGAATGATACAGTTGGGAGGAGAAGGTCAAACTGTTGGTGTTAATGGGTGGGAATAAAATCAAGCAATATCAATGATGTGTCAGTGGCTGACTGCAATAAGATGATTAATCTTTGTTACACTTCTGGATCTTAGTTTTTTCAGTATATTTTGTTTTAGGAGGATTACTGCAATGCTTTTGTGTAAACCCTTAGTTCTGAGGTTGATGGTGGTGGTAGGGATGAATGGACTTGGTGATGGAATTATTTGTAGTAATGTTTTGACAGGAAATAGATATCTCCATAAATTTTGTTAGTTATTTATTGCCAAGTTTCACATAACATTGACCTTAGCTAAGTTTGGAGGTTTTGTTTTCATTGATGAAGATTGAAAAATAAGGTGATGAGTGAAATTCTAAATGTGTGTAGGAATGTTTTGACTGGAAATAAATATCTCCACAATATTTTTTTGGTTATTTATTGCCAAGTTTCACATGACATTCACCTTACTTAAGTTTGGAAGTTTTGTTTTCATTGATTAAGATTGAAAAATAAGGTGATGAGTGAAGTTCTAAATGTGTGTATGGAAAAGTTGCTAGACTGACACTAGGTTCCCAGTTCTAGATTGTCTGTGATGGTGCTGTCTTGTTCAACACTTTAACATGTTTCTGTTAGGTGCTTGTCTTGTTTACCATGCGATTTTGTTGGGAACTTACTGCCAAGTACCAAATTATTTCATCACAGGTAACAAAGACATGGAAGGAATCAACGCTAAGCAGAATTGTGCAGTTGACTGAAGAAGCTCAGTTGAATAAACCTAAACTTCAAAGGTGGTTGGATGAATTTGGTGAACGTTACAGCAAAGTTGTTGTGGTCTTATCAATTGCTGTTGCTGTTCTTGGACCACTTGTATTTAAGTGGCCATTCATTAGTACGCCAGGTACTTAAATTCTTTTAATCTAGCAGTGTTGTATAATATAATTTATGAATTTTCAAATTTGTAAACTAATCATTTGTGGGATCATATATGTCAATCACTTCCTTCCGTTAGTAATCATTTAATGGAAATTTAGAATTAAATTAGAAAAAAACGGATACCAAGCTTCCTACTGGCAGAGATTTCCCTCTGCTAAGATTTAAATCGCAAAGGAAGTGCAGGAGAAAAATAAAATAAAGAATTACATGGGAAATTCTGCAGATACACAGAATTTCTCATTGCTATCCAAAACCTCACCATTTCTCAATTCTTTACCATACCTTTCTAACCCTTCTCCTGAACAATATCGTCCCCCTTTCTTGTGTCCCTGAATCACTCTACTAATTCCTTCCACCATTCATATTGCACCAGCTGTTGAGGCTGTTAACAATCTCTCTTGTCTTTTTACTTTGCTCGTCTGCTGTGAGGACTGAGGACAGACCCTGAAATTCTTCCCTTATGCGTCCTTGCATGCATGCATACACAGTCGTTTCTACTCTTTTAGGACACTTGGGCATAGCTCTTGTTTCTTCATCCTTGTACTTTGGCAAGGGTTCTTTACGTCTGGAGTTCATTAATAATATACTAAAGTCATCATCACTTCCAGACATTCATTACCTCCCAGTTGAACTCTGGATTATCATGGTTTTTTTTTTCCGGGGAAACCGGAGGGTTAAGACCATACACAAAAAGTCATTATCACCAACGTTATAAAGTGCTCATGGCCTTTGTCGTATATCTATGTATGACTTACACATTCGTATTCCAGCTTATTTAGTCTCCATTGGTGCAGCTTGCAGAGGTTCTATTTACAGAGCTTTAGGGCTCATGGTTGCAGCATCACCATGTGCCTTGGCCGTGGCTCCATTGGCATATGCCATAGCAATCAGCTCCTGTGCAAAAAAGGTATCAGTTACCTACTCAGGAGTATCTAAATACACATTAACTGAATATATTTACATTTTTAACATTATATACTAATTGCCTCTTCAAATATTTTTGTGGCCCTTTAGCTAGAAGGAAGTGGTATCCCAGTTTTTCAATTTTGAAGTATTTGCACCATAAATACAATTGTGTTCTTCATCTTGTATTCAGCAATATATTTTCATCAATCGTAATCCTGCCTCTTTTGAAAGTCCTGCTTGTATTTATGGACTCTTCATGGTTTGTTTGAGGAAAGGAAATGAAGAGGAAAAAAAACAGAACTTGCACAAAAAGTTACCCCTTCAAATGTAGTTAGTGAAAAGATAGGGAGGAAGAAAAATATTGCTTTGGACAAATTTTCTCATATAATCTGCACAAGTTTACTTTTATTGAAAGTAAAACAATCAATTATCCTGACAAGATAGTCTACTATTCTTAATCATTTAGTTAACTTTAGAGAAAAGACAATAAATTATGCATTTGTATCTGTTGGGAAGAAACATCAATTAACATGAATAGATCCTTTCTTTTCTCTTACCAGCATCCAAGCATGTATTTTCTTCTTCTTTTCTCTTTCCATTTTATTTTCTTTTCATTTCCATCGTCTCTTTTTTTTTCTGAATCCAAACAAAGTATAAGTAACAGTTTTAACCAAGTGTAAATTTGGAAATTGATCAGTTTGTGATTGAAAAAATCCAAGTCATACTATAGATACTAGTATTACACATGCTAGATGCTTCACCCGGGAAAACTAGTATCATCATAACTATGGTGAAACTAATTTACTAAAGATCCTTATTGATTCAATCAATAAGCTGAACTGAAGGCAATGATTTGATCATCTTGTTTTTTTTTTCCTTTTACTTTGTTCAAGTCCCTCTTTCTGAACTGTGTTTGTTGGTCTAAAGTGAAGTAGAATCATATTCAAAATTTTCCAAATCTTTTAGCATGATTATTCCTTTATTTGTGGGTGTGACAGTTGCCTCAGTTTGCAGGGCATTTTACTCAAAGGTGGACATGTTTTGGATGCGCTAGCTTCATGCCATACCATTGCATTTGATAAAACAGGGACACTGACTACTGGTGGACTTATATTCAAGGCAGTTGAGCCCATTTATGGTCATCAAATTAGAAACAAGGAATCAAACATTTCTTCCTGCTGCATTCCCACCTGTGAAAAGGAAGCTCTTGCTGTTGCTGCAGCTATGGAAAAGGGCACTACTCACCCCATTGGAAGGTATCATTTTGAACAGAATATTGTTGTTACATTTGAACCTGCATTGAACAAGTAACAACTGCAGCTGTCATTGGTTCTCTGCATCATTCATCTATTTCTTGAAGAAGAGTAGAAATGTATTTGTTTTCTTTCTTTTGTGTGTTTCTCAATTTGGTTTTGGACTATATTGGGTTAACACTTTATTGTGACAATGGATTGTAAGTATATTATGTATGTTTGAACTATTCAATTCAATCTTGAATGTTCAGTTATGCCATCTCAAATGTATAAATATAGCATTATCTGGAACATGATTATCTCTTTTCAGTATTTACAGATTTTTTTCTTCCGTTTAATGAATTGCAGGGCTGTTGTTGATCATAGTGAAGGGAAAGACCTCCCTTCTGTTTCAGTTGAAAATTTTGAATACTTTCCTGGTAGAGGCCTTACTGCAACTGTTAACAGCATTGAGGTAGGTACCTGGCTATCACATGCATTACCCAACCCATTAATCAAAAGTTAACTTTGCTCAACAAATCCGAGTATTAATGTAGACCACCATGCATTGTCAGTATCTCTATCTGCTCCTATTGCATACATTTCGTTTATTATAGTGTGGTTGCAAGTTGGTTTTTAGAGGGTTTGTCTATATTTTGAAATATATTTGATATTTAGACAAAGTAAAAGAACAACATGATATTATATGCTCAGGTATCATGTTCTTTAAAAATAGTTTAAATATCAAATACTAGTATATATTAAAATATAGACTAAGCCCTTCAAAGTTTTTCCCTCCAAAATCCAACTCACAAACACACTCTTAGAGACTCCAATTTTTTCATTGTACGCTTTTAAAGTTGCGTCATCGTTATTTTGCATTGTTTTCTTTGTATGCTTAAACAAATGGCAGTGCTAAATATGTTATGATGAGGCCTGTGAAGTATTCAGCAGTAAGATTGACTTATAATCTATGCATATTTTATTCTCGTATTGTTTATTTTGGAATTACAAGTAAAATGACTCAAATTGGTTTTTATTTTGTTATAGTCAGGAACTGAAGGTGCTAACCTATTGAAAGCATCCCTTGGGTCTATAGATTTCATCACTTCATTTTGTCAATCTGAAGATGAATCCAAAAAGATCAAGGAAGCTATTAATTCATCTCCTTATGGCAGTGAATTTGTCCATGCTGCCCTTTCAATTAATAAAAAGGTAGTGTACTGTTAGATACTCTCTAGCTTTGTTTATAAGGGAAAGGAAGAGAGTACTTTGAGAAAAAGGAAGGATGAAGTGGAAATAATTGAGGGTTTTGAGAAGGGAGGGTTTTGAGGGCCCTAATAGGGGGGAACTCAAAAATTGTATTAGGATTGGGAGAGGACTTTGGAAGGTTTTGGAAAGTTCTGAAAAATTATCCAAATTCAATCTATATTGTTATAATTATCAAAATATTAAAAATATATTAATCACAAAGGCCTTTCCCTTTTCCTCCGAACTTTCAAACAGAGCATTAGAGTCTGTTTGGTTCAACCAAGGGGAGAGATTTAAGTTACATGTATGTTTGGTTCAAAATATGAAAGTGGAGGGGAGGAGAGGGATTTTAATTACAAATATGTTCGGTTCACAAAGGGAGGAGAGATATTTTAAAACTAATTTACTTTTTTATCTTTATAATCTTATCATAAGACTCGTGATATTTACTGGTCATAATTCAAACACAAATTTATTAACGAATTATAAGTATTTAATCAGAGAATAATATATATATATATATATATATATATATATATATATATATATATATATATATATATATATATATATATATATATATATATATATATATATATATATATATATATATATATATATATATATATATATATATATATATATATATATATATATATATATATTAACACCAAAAAATTGAAAAAAATAAAATAAATTTAAACACATTCAATCAATAATAAGATGAAAATATAAAAAAAATACAAGAAAAATAAGAGGAAGGTAAAATTTGTTTAAAATAGAACTTTTAACATTTTAATAAGTTAAGTTTATATTTAAATAGATAAATAAGAATAATTATGTAAATATAATTATAATTTATATGAAACACCTTCCTTCCGAACCCTCCAAATTAGGGGAAGCAAAAAGTGGTCAAGGAGGGGTTTTGCACCCCTCCCCCTCCTAAAATTTGAAGCAGACAAATCTAATTAATTATTCCCTTCCCTCCTCTCTCCTCCCCTCCATTTACCTCCAACGAAACGGACTCTTACATTTCTTGGGGGGAGGAATAATGCTCTTAGCATATTTAAAATGTAAAGAAATCTCGAGCCTGAGTAGTTGGTTTCATACCAATGTTTTTAAAATTTCTACAGCCCGTTTATTTTGAAAATTACTTTGGTCCCCTTTTCTTTCTCTCCCCTTCTTCCCAAACAAAACACATTAACTCTCACTAAACGTGATCTGCTACCATTTTTTTGTAGTCAACAGTTTCCTCTTAGATCTTACTGACTAACCACTTGATGCAGGTCACTTTGATTCACCTGGAGGATAGGCCTCGTCCAGGGGTTTTTGATGTTATTCAAGAATTGCAAGATGAAGCAAGTCTTCGCGTGATGATGTTAACTGGTGATCATGAATATAGCGCAAGGAGAGTTGCAAGTGCTGTGGGTATCAATGAGTTTCATTGCAACCTAAAGCCGGAAGATAAGCTGAGCCATGTAAAGGATATCTCAAGAGAAATGGGTGAGTTCCTTGATGAGATCTTTCATATTTTATGTCTCTTATAACAATGACATTGTGTACGGTCTTATTTCTGTACTGAATAGTATGTATTATAAATAATGTAAGTAGGGTGGTTACAAAGACTATCTTTAGTTTTCCTATTTCTTAATGCTATGATGAAACTATTTTCTTAACCAGGCACCTAAATAATATTGTCAAAATTGAATCATGTCTTCTATACATTTTTGTGCTTGATGCTATTGTTTTTACTTCTGTGACAGGGGGAGGCTTAATTATGGTTGGTGAAGGTATTAATGATGCCCCAGCACTTGCTGCGGCAACTGTTGGGATTGTGCTTGCTCATCGTGCTAGTGCAACTGCTATAGCTGTTGCAGATGTGCTGTTGCTTCGAGAAAATATTTCTGCAGTACCATTTTGTATTGCCAAATCCCGCCAAACAACTTCACTGGTACATTAATATCATTTGTTAGGATACATAATTTCTAAATAGGTGTCGTCTCATATGTCAATGAACATGCAGATTAAGCAAAACGTGGCTCTGGCATTGTCTAGCATATTTGTGGCTTCCCTTCCGTCAGTTTTGGGATTTCTGCCATTGTGGATAACGGTATGAAATTCAATCTGATTTAATGCTCAATCTTGTTGCAATTTGTCAGGCATGTTTTATTGTCCTTGTATACAGAATGAATGTGATATGCTGCAAAACATTTGTTTTCTTTAGAAATTAGGGCACCATATAGTGAATGGTAAGACGCGTTTTCTGGTGACCATTTTAGAAATTGAGTCGAGGTTGTCTTTTCTCCCTCTCCTTTTTTCTATTTTCACTCCAAATGAAATTTGAAGATTTTTATATACCAATTTTCCGTAACACGGTAGAAAATATACGAATTATTTAACTTTTGCTGCTAATAAAGTATTCTTTTCTTTAGCTTCTTAGTCATACTTAACATGTATGCAGGTTCTCTTACATGAAGGTGGAACCCTGCTTGTTTGTCTAAATTCCATACGTGCTTTAAATGAACCATCCTGGTCCTGGAAGTATGATATATTACAGCTGATCGGTGAGGTTAAATCTAGATTCCCTTCACTTAGGACAAATATAGCAGGCTCAAGCAGCAGCATTACAACCGCAAATTTGTGATAGTGTTGTTTGAAAGTAGACAAATAGTGTACTAGTGTTGTTTGAAAGTAGACAAATAGTGTATTGCAGTTGCAATTAATATTGTTAATTGAGAAGAAAAATGTCAATACCCCTGTATAGACTCCTGTCTTCTTCTCCTGATGTATAATAGCATGGTATATCTGTAGGCATCCTTTTAGTTTCAAAGAATTGAAGATTCTCTTTTTAGTTTAGGCTTTGTTTCCCCTTATTTTACCCCTGTTTTTCCTTTGAAATGGAATGATGATCAGGGCTAATATCAAGGGAAGAATTTTCTCGCTTAATTTCGCATATTCTTTTATGAAAAATGAAGATATATATAGGTGCAAAAGACAGCACGAGAAGTTATTTGTTAATCTGATTCTTATTATATAAAACCAAAGACATATTTTGTTTTAAACAAATGGGTATAAAAGTTTAGCACACCCCAACAAAAGGTCCTACAGTTGGTAGGAATTCAGCACGAAAAGTAATTAATTATTAGAGATATATTTGCAATTATTTGAAGATTTTGGAGATGAATTTGAAATTTTCATAAAATATGAGGATTATTTTACAAAATTTAAAAAATTAATAATGAACAATTTAACATTCATATTATATACAATTTTCAAAATTTTAACATTTTGATTTTATTTGAAATTCTTCAATTAAATTTGAATAAAATATTTCATATATTTATATCATTTTAATAATTTTTTTTTATCTAAACATTAAATTTTAGTAATTCATTTTTACTTTTCTAAAAAAATCACTTTTACATATGTTTGGGTGGGTCATTAAAGAGAATATAATATTTTAAGGAATTTAAAATAATTTGGACAAGATTTATTGTTTAAATAAAAAATACAAATAATTATTAAAATAATAAAAATCTATGAAATATTTTATCAAATTAAAATTTTATTATTTTGATTCAAATTCTTAAATTCCATAAAATTTGAGTATTATGGTTAATGATTCATAGATTTTTAAGAATTTGAAGTTTAATGATATTATTTTAATAATTTCATAAAATTAATATGGGGATCATTCAAATTTTAATGATATTATTTTAAAATTTGCAAGTTGATCCCCATATTTTTCAAAAGTTTAGAATTGTCCCTAATTTTTTTTAAAAAGATTGCAAATTAATCCTTAGTAACAAATTGGCTCCTTTAAATTTTACAAATTGCGAATTAGTTCTTATTTTTTAAATTTAAAATTTGACCATAAAACTTAAAAAATTTATAAAAATGACCTCAAAAGTCTAATATCATTTATCTTAATACTCTATCAAAAAAAATAATAATGAATTTCAATTGAATCATTTACATTATTTAGAATTTTAAAAATTTTCAATAACCTCGTCGTAACACACTCTAAAAGTTTGTTTGGATAAGATAATTGAAATAAAAAAAATATTTTTTTTAAGCAATTTAAATGATTCAATTAAAATTTATTAATTTATTAATTTTTTGTTTAAATAGAGTATTATGGTTATTCAATGTAAAAATTTTAAAATCACTTTTATAAATTTTAAAATTTTTGAGACAAATTTAAAGATTTGAAAAATAGGGATCGCGTTGTAATTTTTAAAATTTTGAAAATATTAAGGATCCATTTACAAACTTTGAAAAACTTTAAGAGTTGATTTGGAAAATTTGGGGACAAATTTTTAACATTTAAAATAATAATATGCAATTTGACATTCACATTTTATGGAGTACGAGAGGAATTTCAAATTGTTTGATTTTAGAAGTAATTTCTAAATTTTAAATTTAACTTGGACAAAATACTTCATAGATTTTTATCATTTAACAATTCTTCTTATTTTTATCCATTTTTTTTAAAAAAATTATTTTAAATTGCTATTCCTATAATTATATCTCCAAATTATAATAGTTTTTTAAACAAAATTACTTCAACAAGTAAGGTAAATATGATTTAAGAAGTCAAGAAATCAAGTATAAAATCATTAGTTTTATCATTTTAACAAAATTACTTCAAGAAGTCAAGAAATCTGGTATAAAATCATATATTTTAGGGGGAAATATTGTGGGAGTTTTTCACTAGGAACATTGAAGATTGTGAGACTTCTTTTTGACAACACCTTTGTGAGAGACCCGTCACATATTCACCCAACACCTTAAAGTAATAGGTGGGTATTTCTCTCACTTATAAATGCTTGAGTCTCCATATTTATTACCCACACTACTCACACTTGCTACATTCTCAATACTCCCCCTTAAGTGTGAGTCCAAAATGCTCCCTCTCAAGTGAAAGCTCTTCTTACTTTCACAAACTCTTGTATCGTACGAAACGTTTCTTACTGACAAACCTTTGCGGCGCCGTTGCCACTATTCAACAAAATGTTTCTTACTAGACTCTCGAAACAAGCAAGTCGGTCCCTTTCTCGAACCAAAGACTCATTATACCATTTGTTGGGGGAGTTTTTCACTAGGGAGTATTGAATATTGTGCAACTTCTTTTTGAGCAAAACACCACATATTCACCAAAAATCTTAAGATGATAGGTGAGTGAGTTCTAACACTTATAAATACTTAAGGCTCCGCATTTCCAACCAATGTGGGACTATTACCCACACTACTCACACTTGCTACATTCTCAATAGAAAAATATGATTTTACATTATTTTTTTTTGTTGTTGTGTAAAATCATAGATTTTATAAGTAATTTTTTTGTTTTTTTATAAGAAAGCAAAAAATTACTTTTAAAATCTATGATTTTATACCAGAATATATGATTTTATAATAGATTTTTTAAAAATCTAATTAGAATCATAATTTTTATATTGGATTTTTCAAAAATTTAGTATAAAATCATTAGTTTTAAAAAAATATTATAATTTTATTCTAATATCTTCAAAATCCAGACACCTTACCATCTAGGTTGGATCTAAGTTTAAATGTCCGTGGACTTATGCCTGTTAAAAATCAACCACAATCAATGGAGAATTACGCTCAATCTTGATCTCATATTGTTATTAATTACGCAATGACAATGAACAAAAATAAGAACACGTTTAAAAAAGATGAGTATGAACTGCAGAATAATTCTTTGTCCAAACCTGTGAAATTTTACTATCACTTTGCAACTGCAAAATCGTGATTATTAAACTTGATGATTACAATGATAAGGGTTCCTCCCTATTTATAGATTTAGGTTAACTTGCATCTCAAGTTAAAGCCCAAACTATAAAAGCCCAAAAATATCTAATCTAATCTTTCTAAATCAAATTTGATCTTTCTAAATGAAATCTAATCTTTCTAAATCAAATCTAATCTTCCTAAAACAAGGAATTACATATTTAGCACACCACCTAATTCATTGTTTCTAAGCTATCCACATTCATCATAGACCTTAGCTTCTTGAACACTTAGACTGGAACTCCCTTCGTCATGATGTCTGCAATCTGATTCTCAATTTTGCAGTGTTCCAAGTTCATCTTCCCTTCTGCTACCTACTATGAAGATAATGGAACCTCATTTCGATGTGCTTGTTTCGACCGTATGCTATTGGATTCTTCATCAAGTTGATAGCTGACATGCTGTCGATCTTCATGGTAATTGCTCTATGACTCTTCGTTGTGATTTCTTCGACCAGGTTCACCATCCAGGTTGCTTGACATGCACAAAGAGAAACAACTATATATTCTGCTTCGCATAATGACAATGCCACTATTGAATCATTTCTTAAACTCCAAGCAACTGGTGCACCACCTAGCATAAACACATAGCCAGTTGTGGATTTTCTATCCTCAACATCCCTACACCAACTTGAATCAGTGTATCCCACTATCTTGCATTCTTTTCCTTCATCAGATGTAGGAAACAAAATTCCATAGTCGATAGTTCCTTTCAGATACTTTAGTATCCTCTTCGTCGCTGCTAGGTGTGATACCTTTGACTTCTGCATGAATCTACTTACTATACCCACACTGTATGCTAAGTTATACCTTGTGTGACAAAGGTATCAAAGTGACCAAATAAGTCATCTATATTGGGTTAGGTCGACATCATCTTCATCTGAATCCTTCGATAGTTACAATCTGGTCTCAACTGGAGTTGAAGTTGGGTTGCAATCTTCCATCTCAAATCTTTGAGTATTTCGCCTACATATCTTCTTTAGTGCATCATCAAACCTTTACCAGTCTTGTAGAATCCAATGCCAAGGAAATATGATAGGTCTCTTAAGTCTGACATTTCAAACTTCTCACTCAGGTTATGTTTGAAGTCTTCGATCTCCTCCTTGCAACTTCCTACTATCAACAGGTCATCGACATAGAGGCATAGTATAAAAAACTCACTACTACTTCTTCTTACATACACTTCATGCTCAGTCCTTTGTGGGAAAGAAATGGGTGGGAAAGAAATGGGCGAGGTATAGGGAGGAGGGGCAACAATAGGTGCTTCCTTTTCCACCTCTTCGACAACCTCCCTCTCGGGTGGTGTCGGTGGATTTTTCTCAATAATTATGCTTGTCTCACCAAAACTCTCCTCAGACTCATCATCACTCTCCCTAGGATCTTCTATTTGTTCTTCATTACTAGTGGTTACAACATTCACATGGCTCTCAAGGAAGAGTCCTAGAGATGTTTGTGTAAGCAAAGAGGTTTGAGTCTCCAAAGCCTTGCTGTGAGTCGCGAGGGAATCGACTATAATGCTCATCTGCTTAAGGTCTTCATCAATTTGGAGATGTTGTTTTCTAAAATCTTCATTTTGGAGAGTTTGTGTCTCCACAAAGCGCTCCATCATAGATTCTATCCTAGAGTGAGTAAACGTCTCTTCGAATTCTTCTAGTAATAGTTCAAGGTTGGATGTATCAAAATCTTGCGTTTCCTCAAAACATTGGGAGTCGTTATCTAGAGGGAATTTGGGTGAGAATGCGTCGTATTGAAATCTTTTAATAATATTTCGAGGTCCAATTTAAACGGATCTTGTGGTTCCTCGAAATATTGGGGGTGGTAGTTATAAGGGAAA